GGGTCGGGTGCACCACCGCCAGGTAGCGGTCCACGCTCATGACCGTGAGGCAGAAGATGCTGGTGAACTGGTTGATGCCGTCCACGGCCATGACCAGGCGGCACATGAGGGAGCCGAAGGGCCAGTAGGACAGGGCGTTCTGGGCGGCCAGGAAGGGCAGCCCCAGCATGAAGAGCTCGTCGGCCAGCGCCAGGTTGAGGATGTAGACGTTGGTGACCGACGGGCTGGCCGTGTGCCGCAGGACCACGTAGATCACCAGGGAGTTGCCCAGCAGGCCCACCACGCACACCACCAGGTAGACCAGGGGGATGAGGACGCCCCTGACGGCCAGGCCGGCCGCGCTCGGGGCCATGGACACGTTTCCCAGGGTGGCGTCCAGGAGCCAGGCCGAGGCGTTCTCAGGCTCCGAGGTGGCGGGCACCGGGGAAGGATAGCCAAGGGGGTCCATGGCTGAGGGAGGGCGGTCAGCAGTCCGCTATCGGCCTGGAGGAGGGAGGACACAGCCAGGTCATGGCGGAAGACAGCTTCCTCCCAGGTGCCCCTCCCTCCTCATACTGAACTTGTGCTCGGCCAGAGTGTCATGCACCAGCTCGTCAGTGCACAGGCCAGCAAGGTATCCCCACTTCTCAGAGGAGGACACTGAGTCTCAGAGAGGAAGAGCGACCTCCCTGCAGCACCGTAGCTACGGTGTGGTGAGGGGCGCCGGCTTGCCTGGCTCTAAAGGGCAGGGACCAGCGCTGGCCTGTGTCCCCTTGCCTGTGCACAGGGTGAGTGCTACACAAATGTCCAATAAGGAATCAATGGATCATTCAGTCAGCCAATGACAACATAGGCCCTTTCCTTTACACGGGTGCTTTCCAAATATTTTCGATGCCAGTACATTTTACATAGCAGCCAATGGAGTCACATTGTCTCATAAAGCAACTCCTGCCCGCGGAGCCCCGCGTGGATCCCCTGCTGCTATAGACAATGTGTCACCCACCAAAAAAATAAATCCTAACCCCCAGTGTGGTGGTAGTAGGAGGTGGGACCTTTGGGAGCTGATTATGTCATGAGGGTGGAGCCCTCATGAAGGGGATTAATGCCCTTATGAGGCTCCCTTTCCCTTTCCCCTTCCATCAGGTGAGGACACAGCAAAAAGATGGCTATCTATGAACCAGGAAGCAGGCCCTCAGCAGACACCAAATCTGCCAGCACCCTGATCTTGGACTTCCGGCCTTTAGAACTGTGAGCAGTAAATTTAGGTTGTTTATACATCTGTCCCCCAGTCTATGGTAATCTGTTGTAGGAGCCCAAATGGACTGGGACACCCACCAACAGGTCTCAGCCCTCACATTTGAAAACACTGCTGCAAATCACAGGTCCGTAACCTTGAACTTGGGTCTCCAGATGAACTTCAGAGCGTCCATGAACCCCGAAAACTCTGAATGCCCAGAGCTTTCATCAGATTAAGAACCACAGGCTCAGGAGTACCCCTCCCCTGGGAGTCAGAGCCCTTGGGGACCTTTTCTGCCTGCCCCAGCCCCCCGTGCAAAGACCCCGCCCAGGATGACTGGCTGGGAACCTGGGGAGGGAGGGCTTTCTGGGGCCCCTTCTCCCCCAGAGGGAGACTTGTAGAGAAATCAAAACACACTAGAGCAGCGGTCGCCAACCCACTCTCACTTAGCTGCCCCGCGTCCCGTGCCCCCGCCCCCCCCCCAGCCCTGGCAAGCCAGGTCTCCCTGAAATGAGGGCATTTCAGGGTGGGTTTTGAAGCATCTGTAGGAGCACATCCCCCAGCACTGTGGGAACCAGCATTCCCACGTACGGTGTTAGTGCCCTTCTTGTCACGCCTCCCATGCGTGATGAGGAGCTGGGACTCCTCCTGGCTCCCCTGCTGGACTCGACCTCCTTACGTGTGGAGTCGCTCTCACTCAGCTCTGAACCTTTCTCGTCCCCCAGCTGTCCCTTTCACACCAGCCCGAGCTCTGCATCCGTGTTTGAGGCACCATTCAAATAAATCAGAGAACAAGAGGGGACAGATCTTAACACGGAGGGAGTCTGCATTGCTGAGAGTGGAGACCCAGGCCCCCGGGAAAGGCCCCCCACCCCCGGATTTGCTAGCCTCCCTCAGCCGGACTTCCTGGCTCCCAGGAGGCCCAGTTAGAGACCAGGCTGGAGGCTGCGGCCTCCTCTGGGCCTGGACCTCCCCCTGCTTCCTAATGACCCTCCCAGATCCAATATCTTCCTGCCAATCCAACACTGGGGGTTCGCATTGCCCTGTCAGGACCCTGCTTTCCAGATGCAAAGCTCCGGGAAAGGGGAGGTGCCCCAACTCGGAGCAAGCATCGCTGGGAGGGCGAGCGCGCCTGGGTGCCCTGCCTGATGATCTGGGGCTTCTGAGGGTTCTGAGTGCCAGGCAGGGCGATGCCGAGAATGGCAAAGCACCCCTTGGCTGTGGCTCCCCCTGAGGGCACCCCAGGCTGGCTGGGCTCAGAGCACCCCTTCCCTGTCCTCGTCACCCCAGGCCCTCATCAGCTCCCCTGGGCCTGGGACCGCATCTCTAAGGGAGGGGCTCTGGGCAGTGGCTCATGGGGTCCTAACAGTGTGGCCAGCTCCTTGTCGCTGAGTCCAACTGCCAGGTTCCCGGCTAAGCGGGTGACACGCTGCACCCCGTGGGTCCCCTGAGGAAGGCATTGTGTCTGCCATTCCCAACATGCAGACCGGGAGCAAAGGGAGTCCACCCGCTCTGGGCACGGAGCTGTGAAGGGGCAGAGCTGGGAGGACCCACTTCACAGGCTGGCAGACTGAGGCCAGGCCGGGGAAGGCACTTGCCTGGTGCCACACGGGATCAGGCCGCCCAGCTGGCTTCCAGCTCTCCCACCGGCCTGTTCAGAGCTCTCGCGGCTCCTCAGGACCTGGAACTAGTAGGACCATAGACCCAAATCCCTAGACTCTTGGAGGCCTAGAAATAGAATTGTAGATTCTTAGAACTGAGTTGTGGTCATGGGCTTTTAGATCCTGGCCTTGAATCAGGGAATGTTAGCGTTCCAAGTACCCGAGCCCGCCCTCCTGAGACCCGGGGCCGTGGAATCTGGGACCTGAGCCCTGGCCTCCTCCGGGAGCCCTGCGTCACCCACCCCTCCCCCTTGCCTCCCTGTCACAGATCCTCGTTACGGCCTCCCCGCCAGGCGGCCAGTCCAGCCCAGCGATGGGAGAGGGAGGGGTGCTGGGCTCCCAGGAGAGGAGCAGTGAGCCGGGCAGACCTGATTGCCAGGCTGCAGCGACAGATGCCCCCAGGGAGGCCTGGGGGTGAGCTCTGAGGACAGCCTCCCTCTCGCCAGTCACACACGTGTGCACCCACCCGCACAGCACACGTGCTAACCCACAGGGTCCTGGTAGGATACAGGGGACCCACTAGGCCCAGCTCCTCCCAGAGCCCCGGCCCCCTCACGAGATGCCCTGCCTCCACCTTAATCTGGACCCACCTCCCCTGGCCAAGTTCAAGGGGCCAGGGCACCAAACGCAGGGAAAGAACAGCTTTTCGGGGGCGGCAGCCAGACCTGCAATTTAGGTGCCGCCTCTTCTTTAAGGAGCCGGAATCCTGTGCATGACCCAGTCCATCCGGAGGAGGCTCTTCCTCCCTGTATGGCTTATTTTGGCACCGTTTGCCTGAAAGCTGGGGGTGGACCCCTCAGAGGACTGTTCAGGGGGACGGAAGCCCAGAGAGGGCGGGATCCCAGATGCCCCATCGGTTCTGCATTTGTCTGTCCCCCACCCCCTGCCCCTCTAGGGTGCTGGCTCTTGGGTGCAGGGACCCTGCCCACCTAGCACAGCACCCAGAACATCAGAAGACAGGACTAGACCCAGACGCTCGGCGAGTGGAGCTCTGAGTGAGGTGGGGCCTTGCCCTTGGGCTGACGCCTCAAACTCACATTATGAAACCCTCCCAGGGCCCACGGGGGCGGGTGTTCAGAGAAGAGGAAGTTGAGGCTCAGAGAGGTTCAGCAAGTTGCACAAGGTCACTCAGCTGGTGAGCGGGAGGTCAGAGTTCAAGCTCAGTTCTGTCTACTCAGAAACCATCAGCACCCCCTGGCCCTGGTGGCCTCGGGCTTACAGGAAGCAGGGACTGGGCCAGCCCGGACCATGCAGGCTGCTGGCCCCTGGCCAGCTGTGTTCTCTTTGCCCTCTGCTGCCCCGGGCCTTCCCCCAGGAGGCCCCAGGTCACTGCCCACTGAACACTCCCACCCCAGGCTGGGCATCTGACCCCAGGAACACGCCCCACATGCCCGAGCTGTGTGACCTTGGGCAAGTCCCTTCCTTCCTCTGGGCCTCAGTTTCCTCCCGTTAAATGAAGACAAGCATACCCACCTCCCGGGGTGGCTGCGATTACACGGGAGCGTGCAGAGCACGGCGCCCAGCACAGACAGGGGGCTCAGGAGCTGGCACGTGAGCGGAGGAGGCCACGCAGCACGATGCATCTGGCCGCTTCCAGCTCCGACACGGCCCTGCAGTGATTCCCAGATCCGAGAGCTGTGGTGCAAAATTCCAAGATGAATGGCTCCCACCCCCACAGCCCACCCAGAGGCCACAGGAAAGCCCCTTTGCCCCCTGGGCCTCCCCACCCTCTCCAGCCGCCAGCCCCAACCTCCCAAATGTATGCTGGGCAGAGGGGGAGCTCCAGGACCCCACCCTCTGGGACCCCCTCCCCCAGCCCCAGCCTCCTTACCTGTCCGTGGGGTGAGGGACCCCCTCCTTGCTGTCAAGCTGGTTATCATTCTGTTGTCCCTTCTTGCAGAGTCCCCAGCTGCCCCCAGAGCACCCCTTAGCCGGGGTCCCCGCACAGTGCCCCCTTCTAGACTGCTTGCAGCCCGGGCCCCCTCCTAGGCCCGCAGTGGCCACATCTGCCCACAGAGCCTCTTCCATCTGGTCTCCAGCCCTGACTTCCCGCTGGTGCGTGGTGCGTCCCCCCTCATCTCCAGGACATGTCCTGGAGGGCAGGGACGCAGATGGGGTCTGCAAGCAGGAGCCTGGGGTGGGGATGGAGGGCGAAGCCTCCCAAGGAAAGAAGAGAAATGGGGAGCAGGGGATGATAGGAGCCAATAGAGATAGAGGGAAGGGGGGTCGGTCGGAGGTGGAGAGAGAGGGAGAGAGAGAGAGGACAGTGAGTGGGTGGAAAGCCAGAATGAGGGGGAGTGATGAGAAATGCGTGACAGGGAGAATAAAAGGAGGAGGAAAGAAAGCGAGAGAAGGGAAGAGAGGGAGAGATGCGGAGAGAGGCAGGGATAGAGAGCGGGGAAGGAGGAAGGGGAAGGAGGGGGTGGCAGAGAGAGTGACAGAGAAGGATTGTGCCACAGATGGTGACATGGAGAGCCAGGGAAGGAGGGAGCAGGAGTGGGGGTGTGGGAGGGGCTGGGGGGAGGGGCCCAGGGGCCAGAGAGCAGGTGCAGGGTGAGGGAGGAGGGACAGCAGGTTAGGGGAGGAGGCTGGCAGGAGGGGGAGGCCTGTTACCGGGGAGATTTCAGCCACCCACGCTGGCCTTGGCTCCTGCAGGGTGTGGAGAGAAGAGGGTGGTACACAGGGAAGCTGGGGGCTGAGAGCCAGGGGCCAGGGGGCCCCCACCCCAGGCCACCATGGCACATGTCCCCTAGGGTGACGCTGGGTCCCGAGGCCAGGTGGGTGTGGCAGTGCCACCAGGAGGGCTGACAGCGTGGGGTGAGCATTGGATTGGGAGTCCTGTTCCCAGCCACAGGCTGGACACGGGGCACGGAGGATGGCCAGGCAGGGGTCGTCAGCCCCGAGACTGGCTGAGTCTGGAGGGCCCGGGCAGGGCGGGGCGTGGGAGGACAGGGGCCAGAATAAATGCTGCAGGCTCTGGGGCCCAGGAGGCAACTCAAAGCTGCGGAAAACAAATGTCCACTCTTCGTACATTGACAAAACTCAAAATCTAATAGTAATGATTAAGGACGATGATTTGTGATGCAGGTCTACTGCTGAGAAGAGCAGAATTCTTTGGGGGGAAATAATATTTGGCTTAATTGAAATTCAAAGGTAGTGTTTTCCATCATCAAATCGGTTGGCAGTGGTCACTGTGAAATCTATTCTTAGCTGGCAGGCGACGCAGCAGCAGGCGGGGGCAGACTTGGCCCCTGGCTCTAAGGTGCTCTGCCCGGGGCCTGCGCACAGGCCTGGCTGCCCCAGGACACCGTGCCCGGCTTGTGCTGACTTGCCAGAGACCATGAGTGAGTCGTCCCGTCGCCAGGCCTCAGTTTCCTCATTGGGATCGTGGGGAGGTGAGACTAGACCAGTCCTAAGATCCTCTTTCAACGTGAGCATCACAAACGCTAAGGGTCACTTAGTAATGACGGCAATTTTCATTAGTCGTGGGCTTGCTTCAGGCCCGTTATCCTACTTCTCGCCACCACACCCACAGCATTAGTGCATCGGTTTACAGATAAGGAGGCTAGGGCTCAGAGAGGGGAAGCCGTCTACTCAGATCACACAGCAAAGCCAAAGCCTCGCACCAAACGTGTGCTCTCGAGCACCTTGCCACCGAGCAGCCTGCCCCCTTCTCAGGAGGGCAAGGGGGTAACAGGAGAAAGGCTGTTGAATACCTACTGTGTGCCAGGCACTGTCTGGACCCCATTCCTTAAGGACAGAGCTGGACCCACTTGATTGTAAGGCTGGTGTGTAGTAGGCCCTCAGAGAGCCAGGAATCCAGTTCTTCCAGGGGTGCCGTCCTGGCTGCTGCAGCACACAGTAGGACCAGGGACAGACCTTCCTGCAGTCCTCACCCTTCTACCCAGACAAGTTGGTGAGGAGTAAGTGGGCTCTGAGGCAGCTCTGGGGGTGAGGGAGGGTTCCATGGCACTGCCCCTCCCCTGCCCAAGGCCTCCGTGGCTTCTCATCGCCCACCGGGCTTTATACTCCCCCAATCTTGCCGCCTGAACCGCCCTCCCCCGTCTTCTCATCTACAGATCCCTCCCCCAGCCTGAGCTCCAGGCACCTCCAGCCTCATTCATTCATTTATGAAGTCTGCCAGTCTCTCATTCATTCATGAGACAGGAGAGCGCAGAAGGCCTCTGGAGAAGTGAGAGAGACTGAGCAAATGTCCAGGGAAGAGCCTTCAGGCAGAGGGAAGGGCAAGGTCTCCGAGCTGTGGCGGGACACTCACCCCACCCCTTGTGTGAGGTGAAGGAAATCCTCTTGCAGGCCCTGGGTTAGCTAGGTCCCCCCCACCCCTTGTGTGAGGTGAAGGAAATCCTCCTGCAGGCCCTGGGTTAGCTAGGCCCCGCCCCCAGACTGCCCAGAACCACGGCCCCGGCTTCCCAAAGCCACGCCCCCAGACTGCCCAGAACCACGCCCCCGGCTACCCAGAGCAACGCCCCCTCCACGAGCCTCTACTAACCTGAGCTCAAGACTCGGCTGTGGGGGCTGTGTTCTCCGGCAGGGCTGTGAGCTCCGGAAGGGGACACTGTGGGTCCGCACTGTGTCCCCAGGCCTGGCACTGGCCTGGCCGGTAGGCATGTGCTGCCTGTTTAAGGAGGAAAAGAGGATAGCTAGCTGGCGAGGGGGCGTGGGCAGGGTGGCAGGAGGAGGGAGACTGTGCTGAGCGGCTGCTGGAGGCCGGAGAGTGGTGAGGAGTCGCGAGCACCCAGCTGGGGACAGGGGGGGACCCGAGTCCAACACCCACTCCCACCCACGGCCCTTCGCAGCAGAAACGACCCTGCCCAGCCCTCCCCCTGGGACGGGAGGGGCAGAAGGAGGAAGTGCAGCTCTATGCCTGTGAGCTCTGGGGAGCAGGCACCGCTGGGTGTCTGAGAGACATGGGGGGCCCTGCCCTGCCTGGTAGTGCGGTCCTGGCGTGTGAGGCCTGGACCTGTCACCTCATGTCCCTGGCAACCTGGAGGGACTGTCTGGCCTGCCTCCCCAATATAGGATGATGCTATATGTGTCTTCTCATCACACCGGGGCCCTCTCAAAACTGGGGCCACGTCTCTCTCCTCAGACTGGAGGGCTCCCCCAAGTCCAACAAGTGTGCCTCCACCATCAGACAGGTGGTTTCCCAGGAGCTGGGGCCCAGGCTCCCCCCACCCCTGAGAGCCAGGGCAGAACCTGCTCCTCCCCACTTCCTCCCCAACACAGAGCCTAGGCCAGAGCCAACCACAGAGCAGGGCGGGGCCTCAGCTGCAGATGCTGGGTCTGTCCTCTCCAATAAGACAAATTGAGCCCAAAGGCCTTCCCAGCCCACCCCCTGGGGCTTTGTGACTGGAGTCCCCATTAAGGTGCCCCCGGGTTCATCAGTCCCTGCGGGGTCCTGCTGGGGTTGAATCTCAGCTTCATCATTTCCTAGCTGTGTGATCTTGGATCTGTGACTTAACCGCTCTGAGCCTCAGTCCCCCATCTTCAAAGCTACTGCATGGGGTGCTTCAAGGATGGAATCACTTAACCCGCCTCTACAGCCGCCGTTTCTTTCACACTCCGAGCCAGCAGGCTTACCAGGCACGTTCTCTTGTCAGCACAAGAGAGCAAGCTCAAGGGCGAAACACTCAGGTCTCTCCTAGTGATGCGAATGTTAACCACCCATTGGCCAAAAGCAAGTCACCTGGGCCAGGTTGCACCAGTGGAGTGGGAAATTACACGCATGGCCTGGAGGGAGGTGCGGGGGATGGGAGTGAGATGACCTGCTAAGCACCGTCAAATCTACCACCCCCACCCCATCCTCCCCCCAGGAAGCAGCCTGGGGTCTCACCCCCTCATGCCCTTAGCCAGAAGCCAGTGGCCTCGGGTCCGGAAGTCTCTGGCTGGAATCTCCCCGCCCGGGTTTAGAGAGAAGGATGGTCGCCTGGCTGCACAGTGCAGAGGGGAAGACCTGGAGTCCAACGGCTCCTGAAACAGACTTTGCCATCTGTGGCGCCTGGGCCCCTTCTTGGGAGCCTCCTGGGGTTCTTCCAGGCCAGTTGGTTTGCATCTCCTCAGGCTCCGCCCCTCCTCCCGCCCCGCCCCGCCCCCAGGGACCAGCAGGCAGGCTTGCCTGTCGGGCTGTTAAATCATTTACCACCCTTCCACCTGCTCTCCTGCCTGTGCAGTGGTTTTGGGGCACAGGTGTCTCCTGCTTTCTTTGAAGATGAGAGTTTGTGTTTCTGTTTTGTGTTCTCCTTGTTGTCGTGGCTGCTCTTCAGCGAAGTGCAGGAAGCAAAAATCTCTCTCCCCTGGCACCTGAGACCAGAGTCCCTTCCTTTCGGTATAGAGTGCGCGGCTGTGGTATGTGAACCCAACCACAGGCCCGGTGTTGATTTACACGTCTGTCCCTCCCACTGGCCTCGGAGGCCCTGGGGAGCAGAAGGCTGGGTCTCACCCCGCTCTTCACTTTCAGCTCCTGCCCCGGAGCACATGGTTAGTACATGGGAACTGAGTTGACTTGAGCTTCCGGTTATACAGATGGCTGCTCATCGTTCCACCTTCCTCGAGGCCTTCAGAAGTCTTCTAGAACCATCCAAGACCTTTGCCTCCCTCCCCAGAGCCCACCCTGTCATACTTCCCATAGCCCACAAGGCTTGATGCAGTCAGGTGACCCTAGAGGCGTGGAAGAATAGGGTAAAGAAAGACATACATAGCATTTCTTGTGTGATGGGAGAGTTAAGAGGGGAGGGAGGAGAGGTAAACAATGAAAGGAAAAGATAGCAGGGACAATTTTTCTCAATCTGTTGAGATTTTGCTTCCAGGCATATCTTATTTTTGGCTCAAATAAATTTTTATAAAAAAGATTTTTAAAAAAAGATAGCAGGGACTTGGGCTCTGAAAAGTCAGTAAAAATTGTTGATGAAAATTGGCCCTGGCCCATGTGGTCCAGTTGGTTGGGCATCGTCCTGTGCACCGAAGGGTTGCCAATCTGGGCACGTGACTGTGTTGTAGGCTTGATCCCCAGTAGGAGGCATGCAGGAGGCAGCTGATTGATGTTTCACTCTCACATCAATGTTTCTCTCTCTCTCCCTCTCCTTTCCCCTCTCAAAATCAATAAAAATACTTTTTAAAGATTGGAAATTGTTTCAGTGTACCATTTTATCATCTCCCATGATTCTGTGGTTGGCTGGGCTCAGCGGGGTGGCTCTTCTGTTCCATATGATCTTGGCTGGGGCTACAGTCGGTGACTCGACTGGGCTGGCACATCCAAAATGGCTCATGCCATGACTGGTGCTTTGATGGCTGGAAAGCTGGGTTGACTGTGTATCCAGCATCTACCAGGTACTTGCTAGGGTCAAGGTGAACCGTTCAAGCAAAAGGGACATTTCCTGGGCTCTCTGAAGATTCGGCAGCTCCCCACTGGGCTCTGAGCTCCTAAGAGCAGGCTCTCACTTGACCTGCCCTCAAACCCTGTGTTTGGCACACAGCTCAATAACTATTTGCTGAATGATTACTTGATTGGATGAATCAGTGCTGTATAAGCATCTTTGAAGGCATCTGAGAAGCAAAATCATGTTTGTAAATGAGGAAATCCCCCAGGTTGCCGGGTGGAGGTCGGAGTATAAGCCGACTGTGGAGGCTGGGATGCCGATGAAAAGGCTGTAACGACTGTCCAGGGAAGAGATGCAATAGGCCCAGAGCAGGGGCTGGCAGTGGGCCAGGTAAGGAGGGGGGCTTAGCAGACATGGGGAGGCAGACCTGGCCAGAGTTGGTGACAGTGAATGCTGGGGTGAGGGCGTGGGAGGAAGGAACAAGGAGCAGCCGGGCTGTGACGGAGAGCCCCAAGTGAAGGAGTCTTGTTGGCTGGTGCTCCCCTGCCCACCAGGCAATGATTGCATGAGAGGGAGCCACGTCTGATGCATCGGACTGAGTGGCTGGGTGCTGGGGGTGGGGGTGGTTGCTGTCGAATGAGTGAGCATCACCGTGTTGACAGCTTCTGCACACAACCAGCAGTACTTCCTGTTTCAAAACAGGTTTCTCTTTCCTACCTAAAGGCCACCCCCCCGAACCCCCCCGCCGTCCTCAGCCAATTTGCAGAGCAAAAACAAGTGACCCGCCCCATGAACAGTGAGTGCTGGGCACCTGAGACTGGGAAGAGCAAGGGGCTAGAAGCCCTGAGACCTCAATTACAAACGCCGCCAGCTAACAGTAGGCCTGGCCGGCGGCGAGGAGACAAACGGGTGGTTTCATTTTCATTTTGTTGCCGTAATAAAGCGGCCGTTGGCGTTGGCTCAGCTGCCCATCAAAGTTGTAAAGGATCCAGGCTTTTCTCTCCCTCTCTTTCTGCTCCTCTATGTTCAGCCTGTGAGTGGGCATCGTCACGCTGCTGGCTTCCGGTTCGCAAGATGGCTGCTGCAGCTCCAGACATCACATCCGTATTCAAGGCAGGAAAGAGGGCAGAACAAAGGGCATTTTTTTTTGTGGGCTGCGGGGGGAGGAGGGGGGGCGCGGGTGGAGAAAACCAAAACGTCCACAGATGCCGCTTCTCCAGCTGACTTTCATTTATGTCTTGTCGGCCAGAACTGTGTGATCTTGGAACCCCAGCTACCAAGCAGGCTGGGAAGACAAGTATTTTTGTCTGGGGTTAGATACATTGCTGCTCTGCACAGAACTAGGATCCTGATAGCAAGGAGGGGGTCCCGTGGCAGAGAGCGGAAAATAGTGTCTTAATGAGCTAAGCCCTAATTCCTGTGCCCTCCTGCGCACCCATGTCCTTCTCTGCAGAACAAGAGCTGCTAGTCCCCACCTCAGAAGGCAAGGAGGAGGATTAAGTGAGCTAATAGGTGCCAGGTGAGACCCACAATGAATAGATAAATTCTACTGACGTCATCGGAATACAGCAGTGGCGTTTCCACTGGGGTAGGCATGCAGGGAAGTTCGAGGAGCCAAGGAAATTGTTCGAGGAAAGGGGACCAGATCCGCTGTGCAAAGGCTGGGGTGAATGTGGCTTTGAGGATGTGAGAGTCCAGTCTGCCCGTGGAGGTGTGAGTGCAGGAGGAGAGAGGGAGTCGGGGTGTGGCCAGGCCTCCGGGGCCCCAGGAAGAGCAGGAAGCAGAAGGAGACCCCCTCAGACTCTGGCCTCAGGAGAGGGGGCACCTCTGGGCTTTGAAACATTGAAGATCTGGGTGGGGGCTCGACCCACCACATCTGTTTCCATCGAGTGTCGGTTTTATTGTGAGATTTTTGTTTCATACGAGAAATAACTTTAAAAACATAAACTCGTCTGAGCTGAAACTCATAAAGGCGGGGGTTTCCCCCTGCACTCACTTCCTTTCAAGAGGGTGAGGCTCGGGGAGGCAGGGGAGTGAGAGGGTCCTGCCTAGAACGTCAGGACTTGGGGGGCAGCGTGGGTGGCTGGGGCTCTGGGGAGAAGAAAATAGAAACTCAAAGCAATTCACAGGGCTGGGACTCGGGGACTCTGAGCTGCCAGGGGCGGAGTTTTCTGTCTCTTTTTTTATTCCTTTATGTTAGCCTCTCTGGATGCCAGCTAACTAGGTCAGGAGCGCCTGTGCACGCCTGGATCCCCGTGCCTGGACCTGTCCCCGCCCCCGCCCACCCCACCCCAAACCTAGAACAGCACCTGGCCCAGAGTGAGTGCTCACTGACTGTGCTGAAGGAGCGGGGGAAGTTTAGATAAAGACGTGTAATTGTCCACAGGAGTGGGAAGTCTGGCATTTGAAACTTGGCAAAGACTAAGGCGACTGACTCCATACCGGGCACTGCCCGCTTTATGGATGAACTCGATCCTTCCAACAGCGCCAACTCTCCTTTAAAGAAACTCCCCTTTGCTTAGTGCCTGTGGGCGGGGACTGGCATTGCTTCTTTATGCCCTTGGACTCCTTCCTGTGACCCCCAGTAGGAGAGGCTGCGAGTTTCCAGCTGCCTGACACCCATGTTCCCAAATTCCCCGCAAGGCTCTCAGTCTCCATGTAGGGACCTACCCCTCCACCCTGGGGGTGTGGCCCGGCCCAGCAGAGCCCAGCAGCTCCCCACCAAACACGATTGGTTGAAAGGGGACCCAAGACCTAAGCTGGTCCAATCAGAGTACATCCTCATTGGAACCTCACCGGGGCAAGCACTTGCTCCTTTTTGCTGACCTTGAACCTGGAAGGACAAAGCCCTGGGAGTCGCCTCCTGGGAATGAACCAGACAGAGGAAGGCAAGGCAAAGGGGTCCAGGAAAGTGAGCCCCGATGACGCCATCTGAGCCCCCTCGATCACGCTGCACCTGAAGACATGGTATTTCCAAACTGGAATCAGTAAATTTATTTTCTACTTAAGCAGGTTGAATCGGGTTTTCTGTTTGCAATAGCAAAGTTCCTGGCGAGCAGGGTCTGAGGCAGCTCAGGATCCCGAGTGGAGCAGAAAGACGAGGGCGGCAGGAGCCAGCTGCACCCCGACTTCAGGCTGGCTGGGCAGTGCCCACAGACTTCTGGGAAATCTGATTGTTTTCTGTTGTCCCCAAAGGAGCATTAAGACCAGAGGGACACACTTCTGAGACACTCATATGAGCGCAGCAGAAGAACTTTCAGACAAGCAAGACCAGCAGTACTGGAGTGGATGCCTCAGGGGGAGTGAGAGGCCCGTTCCGGAGGCATACAAGTGGTGGCCGGCAACCATCTGGCCCAAAGTTTCCAAAGGAGATTCAGGGGTCGGGGTAAATGGGTACATGCTGCCGTATGTGGCCGGGGGACATACCACAGTAATGCAGGGGGGGCTTATTGGGTCCTGGGGCTCCCCTCCAGCCCCTGGGGAGGCAGGAGCATGAGGGGATCGGGACACAGCACCTACGGATTCACACCTTCGGACCCTCGGGGGCCTCCAGCACAGAGAAGACCATCAACCAAGCTCTGAGCACGTGCTAGGAAGCGCCACAGGAAGGGGACAGCGTGGCCAGCCGGGGTGCCATCGGGTTCTGGGTGGGGGCCCTGGAGGGTCGGAACCATCTGGCTGGGAAGACTGGGACACCTGGAGGGAGACAGGCAGGGTGAGAATGTGGGGACAAGCGGGATCTACAGCCAGCTTGCAGCTTCCCGGGCTCACAGCTCACTCCCACCTTCCAGCTTCTGGTCAAGGTTGCCTGCCCGCCAGGACGGCCCACCCTGCTCTTCCTCCACACCGGGTCCTCCCCATCCTTCTTCTGCCCCAATCGCCTCACAGCTCTGTCTTCCCTGCCTCCACCCCTGGATGTGGGGTCGGTTCTCCCTGGCTGGACTGGGCTCCCCTGGCTGGGCAGGGGCTGAGGTGTCTCTAACCCTTCTCTTCCCCGCCCTTCTGCAGGGAGGGCAGAGTTGGGGCTCAGTGACCCCCAGGCCTTGGCTCAGGGTACCTGGCCTTTTCTCATACTTTGGGCCTTCCCTCTGGGAACCCGGCTCACTGAGCTGCACTGGCTTAGGCAAGTGGGGAAACTGAGGCCACGGCTTCTCCTCTATCTGTCCTGGTCTAAATACCACTCCCAGCGAAATGGAGGGCCCTGCCGGCTACAGTCTGCTGTTCGATGGGGTGGGGGTGGGGGAGGGGCCTCACCCCTAGAGGATGCTGCAGGGGCGCTTCTGCGGCCGCGTGGGCTGGGGACACAGGACGGCCCGGATGGCTTCGTCGAAGACAGTTTTCAGGCCTCGCTGGGTGAGGGCCGAGCACTCCAGGTATTTCACCGAATCTGGGTGAGGCCGGGAGAGGGCAGAGGCCCAGGTCAGGGGAGGATCCCGGGCAAAACCCCCTCCCAAGACACGTGCCTGCCCCAGGCCGGGGGGCACCGGGGCTGTGCCGTGCAGAGCAGGGCACTGGCCTCTCTGTGCTGCCTTCTCATGCCTGGAACGGGGAGCCTGAGTTCAGTGGGCGGGTGATGGCCCGCAGGAGCAGGTCTGTCTCTCTCCTGGACACATCAGCCCTTAATTTGCGGAAGGGAGGCGGGAGTTTGATACTTTCCCGGGAAGGAAAGGGCTCAGCTCGAGACCGAATCTCTCCATGCCTCAGCTTCCTCTAGAAAAGGGACCCACACCTGCCTCCCCCACGAGGCCTGCCCCACGCGTGGCCCACTCACAGGACCTCCCAAATGTCTGACCGTTCCTTAGTCTCCCCATTTTAAAGATGAGGAAACTGAGGCTCCTCGAGGTGGGGGTGTTTGTCCAGTCTCACGCTACCCTGAGGAAGCCGGGGGCCCTCGGCCAGAGGACAAGAAGAGAGCCCCTCCCCCTGGATGGGGGATTGAGCTGCCCCACAACTCCCCACTCCAGGCTGGGGAGGCGCCCATGGGCAGAGACAGCTGCTGCCTGGGCAGCTCTGCAGCCCCCCACCCCCAAAGCCCTTGGCCTGGGTTGGTCCAAGGCAAGTTCAAAGTCCCTGCCCCTGACACCTCCCACCCCCCGACTGGGATCATCTCCAGGAGAGATTGGCTAGAGGCCAAGACAGGACCCCCAGGTCATCTCCTCACAGAGGGGAGAGGGCTTTTAGGGCCTCTGTGGGTGGCTTTGCGGGTGGGGAGACTGAGGCCCAGGGCGAGGCCACCGGCTCCAGGTCACACCGACAGTGCCAGAGCCAGGAGCAGCACCGGCTTCTCAGGCCCCTACTCATCCCAAAGCGCGTGCTTTAAAGGGAGAGGGCTGACAGCAGGCAGGAGTGGCAACCTTGGTGGAAGGGGTCCAGGGGGACCGGCTGGTCAGAAAGAGAGAAGGCGGTGGTGCCATCCCCCATAATCGTGAGGGAAGACTGCAGGCCGGACCAGAGCCCCCAGGATGGGGCATGGGACCCAGGGCCTCAGCAGAGTGAAGGTCCCCGAGGGAAGATGGCCGTGTCACTGGGCTAGTCACGGGAAGGGGGAGGTGGCAGCTGCGGTTTCTCTTCCTGTGAAGAGATGTGAGTCCCCAGGGCCCTCCCAGTTCCGGCGGAAGGAAGAGTGGTGGGGCTGAGGCGGGGATGGGGTGGGGAGGCCTCACTGATTGGGGGCGAAATCCTGGGCCTGCAGGACCCTGGGGTGAGACAGAGCGCCCTGGGTAGCTGGGTCACTGCTCATAGTGGCCAAGCCCACTGGAGGGCCTGGGCTCTTGGGCAAGTGTGCCCTGGGCTGTAGGTCGGTCAGGACCAGAATAGGAACAGCATGGGAGAGGCCAGCCCATCAGGCCCCTAAGCAACTTCCTGTCCCGTGTTCAAATCCTAGTTCTGCCACCTACGAGCTGAGTGACCTTTAAAAAGCCACTTTACTTCCCTGGGCAGTGATCAGGAGGCAGAGAGGAGTTGGGTGTGGGAGGGAGGTGAGGAGGCAGAAGGGAAAGCCTCAACCTGCAAACCCAAGGCAGAAGCGCCTCCTCCAGGAAGCCTTCCTGGAAAACCCAAGCCTGACTTGGCTGCTCGTCCTCTAAGCGGCCACAGCACACCCCACTCCATCCCTGCTTCTCTCTGGGCAAAACACACTTTATTTCAAGATCCGATTATGGTTTTTACTAATAACTAGAGGCCCAGTGCATGAAATTCGTGCACAGTTAGGGTCCCTAGGCCTGGCCGGCAATCAGGGCCTCTGGCTGCCGGCCAGGACCTCCCTCCCCTGGATCCCAGCTTCTGGGGCCTTCCTTCATTCCACACCACCCCCTGGTGGTCAGCGTACATCATACTGAGCAATTGGTCTCCTGGTTGAACTCCCATGGGGACAATTTGCATATTAGGCTGATTGATTGATAGATAGATATAGATAGATAGATAGATAGATAGATAGATAGATAGATAGATAGATAGCTAACACAGACAGATCCCCATGCGTGGGTGTTGGGAGCCAGTCCGTGTTAGTTATTATTAGGTTCCTCATGTATTAATTTGTTTAATTCTCCCAGAACTATTCCTATGGCCAGGTTTTACTGATGAGGAAACAGGCACAGAGAGGCTAAGTGATTGGCCCAGGGTCACACAGCCAGCACACGCACAGCCAGGGTTAGGACCACACAGCCTGGTTCTGGAGCCATGTCTACAGTCACCAGAGGCTGAGCTGGGGCTCCCCCGGCATCCAGGTCCCCTCTCTGAGCCCGAGCCCCATACCGATCTCCTTGGCCAGTGCCAAGCCCTGTGGGTAGGTGATAGGCGCCAGTTTCTTCTCCTTCAGCTTCTCGATGGTGTCCTTGTCGTCCCGCAGGTCCAGCTTGGTGCCCACCAGGATGATGGGTGTGCTGGGGCAGTGGTGCCGAACCTCGGGAAACCACTGGGCAGGCGTGGGGATGAGAGGGGCACAAGAATGGGGGGAGAAGAGGGGCGCCACGTCGTGAGAAGATAAGAGGCGGCATGAGTTTGTGAGAAGAGACGCGAGGTTGCACCGGGGCGGGGGGCACGTGGTTGCAGGAAAAGGGGGTGTGATTTTGTGCGGAGATAAGAGGCAGGCATGAGGTTGTGCGGGGAGGAGAGAGGACAAGGTTAGAGGGCGGGCAATAAAGCTGACACTCCAAGCCCCTCTGAGCCCTGCCCCCCCCCCCCCACAGTCTCATCCCGGAATCTCCCCAGCACTGGTTGGCACTGCCCCAGGGACAGCTCAGCTCACCTTGGCACGGACGTTCTCATAGGAGGCTGGGCTGACGAGGGAGAAGCAGATGAGGAAGACATCCTAGGGACAGAGCAGGCCAGGGCTACCCGTGAGGGGCGGCACGGGGTGCCCCACCTGCAGCCCCTCCACACACCTGGCAGCACTGAGCAGTGGCGCAGCCCAGGGTAAGGGGGCAGGGTCCAGGCTGCTGCCTTTTATCCAACACCTCCCAAAGGCCAGGCCCTGTCCTCACACAGACCCGGCAGCAGGGCTGCCGCCCCCATTCTGCAGATGGGAAGAGTGAGGCCGCAAAGGTTAGCGGGTTTGCCACCTGGAGCTCCAGAATCCACACTCCTAACCAGGCACTCACTACCCCATCATCGGGTTACCAGCCCTGGAGGGAAGGTCAGGGGTGGAGGGGGTGGGAAGTGGTGGTTGCCCAGCAACCACAGAGCCACCTGCAGCCTTACCCAGTCTCTTCTTCCCCCACCCAGCTCACCCAGGGTTCACTGCCCTAGGCTCCCTACCATCCTGGGTCTGCCTGCCCCACCCACAGGGAGCCCAGTGGTACCAGAGCCCAGGTGGGTGGGACTGGGAAGAGGGCAGAGTGGTCAGGGGGACCGATGGAGGGCTGGGGGCTGAGGGAGGAGTCCCTGGCTGTGCCTGGGGGGGACAAGGCAGAGTCCTCGAGCTGGGCCTTAGGGGAGGGTCAGGGTTCACCAGGCCAAGCTGGCCCCAGGGCACCCCACGCAGAGGGAACAGGGGGAGGAGAGGCCAGCCCGCAAGAAAGGCTCAGGGAGCTCACCGTCTGGGGGTAGGAGAGTGGCCGGAGGCGGTCATAGTCCTCCTGCCCAGCAGTGTCCCACAGCCCCAGGTTCACCGGCTTGCTGTCCACCATCACGTTAGCTGAATAGTTGTCAAATCTGTGGGGCGCAGGCAAGACAGAAGGGTCAGTCTCCTGCCCCAGAGCCCGGGGCCCTCTAGTCCAGGCCCAGGTTGCTGGAAGTGGAGACCCAGAGAGGGCCTGCAACAGGACCAGAGTCACACAGCACCACGCAATTAAGTGGGTGTTTTTTTTTCCATTGCTGATTCGCAACATAAAAAATCAAAAACTCGGGTAAGCATAGAGGGAAACATCGCCTCGATCATTTTCCTGCCCTCACCTGTTCTTTGGAGAGGCGGCTTTTCAAGGCTGCGTACTATTCCCTCCAAGGTTTGACCGGAATAAATGTACCCCCTCCTGAGCTGGACACTGAGGCTGGCCACCCACCATTTGCTGAATAAGAACTTATCCCCGTCTTAGGTCGGGTATCCCCGGAAGCAGGCCCGGGGGTGAGGGGTGGTGCCAGCGGTTTATTTGGGAAGTGAGTCCAGGCAGCTACAGGAGGCCAGTGGGGAGGAGAGGAAGGGCAGCAGCAGACATAGGGCGAGCTAGTGGGCAAGTGGGGCTCCGGCCAGCCAGGGCCCCCAGGAGACAGCGTGGGCCGTTCTGGCGCTTCCCCCCCCCCCCGCGAGGGGGCAGGAGCTGGGGTATTGCCCACTTTCTCCATCTTCTACTTTTAGAGGGATGTCCTGGGATGTTGTTTCCCTTGTTATCCAACCCACCTGAGGGCACACTGAAGCTGCCATCACAGGAGGTTTGGGGAAATGCCATTGGCACATGCTAGACAGACACATGCCAAAGGGTGGCATGGGCACCAACCATGACCCCTGAAATCTCCCTGCCAGCACCAGCGAGGACTCCGGGCAATCTAACAAGCTGACAGATTAAAAAACAAAACAAAACCACAAAACCAATTCAACAGTATTTTTCACTACACACATCCCTGAGAAGAAGGTGCTACTTCCTCATGCCATGGGATGTCACCTCCTCCATGCAGCCCTCACGGAATGCTGCTCAGTGACAGGTCGCAGAGCCCTAATGCTCCAGAGTAATTCCAAAGACACCTGTCTTAAGTAACACCCCACATACAAAAAAAAAAAAAGACAGACAGCCTAACTTTTTTTTTAAATCCTCACCCAAGGATATGTCTATCGACGAGAGAGAGAGAGAGAGAGAGAGAGAAACACCCACGGAGAGAGAGAAAGAGAGAGAGAGAGAGAAACACCCACACATCGATGTGAGTGACAAACACTGATCAGTTGCCTCCTCTATGGATCGAACCCACAACCCAGGTATGTGCCCTGATGGGGAATAGAACTCACACCATTGGTGTGTGGGACGACCCCCAACCACTGAGCCACCCCGCCAGGGCAACAGCCTGGCGCGTTAACACACTGCACTTGGGGAGAGTTCCTGGTTACCTCTCACTCCTCAGATGGCCCTGCTCCCTCCTGCCTGGAATGCTCTGCAAACTCCTCCCTGACTTCCCACTCTCCTTCCTCCTTCTGCTAGGCTGACTCTTACATAACCCCCTGCCCCAGCCTTATCTCAATGCCACCTCCTCCAGGAAGCCTTTCCTGATTCCCAGCCTGGTTGGGTCCCAACCAGTAATTTGTGGGGAACTCAGCACCTCAAAAGCAGGAGCTTGTTCCTCACTGCACCCTGAGGCCAGCACCATGTTTGGCACATAGTAGGTGCCTACTCTGGGGCACCACCCATACCACTGGGATTTCAGGTCCAAGGAGACACCACTGGGCATGACGGGAAAAGAAGTGTGTGTTGTCTTTGGCTTCTTTCAGGATGAGTTTGGGACACTCTCTTCTCTGATGTCCAGTCTGAAACTCTGGTGCCCAAAAGCCTCCCCAAATTCCTGAGCCAAAGGTGTCTGCCTTCTCCGGGTCAGGGCCCAGGGTCTCAGGGGGGCCGGGCAGAGGGCTAGGGGCCTTCATCCCATAGGTCTTGAAGTCCCAGGTGACCCAAGACCAAAGGACCTCAGGTTCCTCCCAGTACAGAGATGAGGAAGCCGAGGCCCCAAGACCAGCCAGCTCATAAACAAGAATCTGAACCCTGCTCCTCCCATGACCCCCAGTAGGGAACCTGGGGACAGCCGTCTGGGGTCCGTCCCCCAGAATCGGGAGGGAACAGAGATCTCCTGGTAGGGCCTTGTCCGGGCTGTGTGACCCTGGGTGAGCAGCCCAGCCTCTCTGAGCCTTGCTGTCTTCATTGTGAAAAAGCCATCTCTCTTGGGGCCATTGGGAGGCTCCAAAGAGACAGGACATTGAAGCCACCCCGTGGGGAGCCACTGAGTGACCTTGTGTTCCCTGTCCCTGCACACGCTCCACTGCCCCTCCGCAAGGACCAGCGGTCAGGGCCGGGCATGTCTGCGGGGAACCCCTGGGACCTGCAGCTCCCGGGGTCCCCCTTACTCCACAGGCGGCCTCGGCGAGAGGGCCTCACACACCGCTGTGTCCAGTCCTCGCTCCCGTTGCCAGAGGAGACATGGGCTCTCAGAGGCAGGAAGGGGCTTGCCCAAGACCTCACAGTTGGTGGCAGAGCCAGGACTGGATCCTGTTACCCAATTCAGAGCCCATGCAGCAAGGGTCGCTGCAACTTCACGGCTGGGGTCTCAGTGGAGTTTGGGCTGGGGCCTGGGGGCTGACTGCGAACTCTGGGGAGGAGGGAGCGCCCATTTGCTGAGCAGCCAGGGGCGCCAAGCGCTGCTCCAGGCCCCTCATGCCTAGGTCATTTCAGCGCACCTGCCATTGTCCCCGTTTCACACACGAGGAAAGCGAGAATCAGAGACTGGGAGTTACCTGCCCACCGTCACACAGCTGGGAAGTTTCCACCCAGAGTCTGTGCGGCCTCTTTCTGCACTCGCCAGCCCTGACCCTGGACTGGAGTGGAGGAGGAAAAGGGGGGCGGGTGAAAGGGGTGCCCTAGTTCCAGCACCTTCTCAGGGCAGACTGCAGCTTGACCTGCCTGACGAGCTCAGCTCGGTTCCAGCAGCTGGTGGGACAGACGGACGGACAGACAAGGACAGGGCCCTGACCGTCCAGAGCTTCCATCCCAGCAGGGAAGTCAGGGGGGACGGGCTATGAAGGACGTCAAGGGGCCTGGGTGGAGGGAGGGACCACCTAGAGGACAGAGTCCAGGGGGGTGATACCTGGGTCAGGAATGGTGGGGAGGGGAGAGCACAGAGGCTTATGGGGAGCTGGCGTGTGTGGGGTGATGGGAGAGGTGGGGGCGGCATTCCGGGCTTTGAATGCCAGGGTAGGAGATGGGCTTGAATGGTAACGGGGCCATGAGCTTTTCACGTTTGAAAGCTCAGCTGGGCTTCCATTTGAGAACGGCTATAAGGAGACGTGGTGGGAAGGGGAGACCCCCTGGCCACAGATCTCCCGGCCATGTCTTTGCATCCCCAACATCGAGAGAGATTTGGTCTCCCGGTCGGTGAAGTGGGGGTCTGAGCACACCCTCCCGTCCCTACCCCAGAAGCTCTTCTCACCTCTATCCAGCTGCCTGTTTCCCCAGCCCCACTCCCCTGCTGCCCCTGCCCTTCAAGGGCTCAGTATAACCTATGCCCGCCCTGCCTCAGGGGCGCAGGCGTGGCCCCAGGAGCCACTTGGGGCCTGTCCGAGCTGAGCCCCTCTCTAAGGGGGGTGGCAGGCAGGGCTGGTCACACACTTTGCAGGGTCCGGTGCAAAATGAGAACTCAGGACCCCTTGTTCAAAAATTAAGAACTTCAAGATGAAGGGATATGAGAGCATTAAACCAAATGCGGCCCCTTCCCCGCGCACGGGGCCCCTGCAGCTGCAGGGACAGGGCGAGGTGAAGCCGGCCCTGGTCTCTGACCAGCTCCTCAGTCCAGCGAGTGGACCTCGTCCAATCCGTTCTGGCTGTTCTGCAAGGCTGCCCAGGCCACATGACTTCACCAGGGGCCAGTCTCTCAGGGCTGCTGAGAGCACCTGCCCTGAGAACACACCTTCCGTCTCCCTGGACAGGAGAGGCAGCCGGCAACGGGCTGGGCGTCTCCCAGTCCCCACCCCTACAGAAAGGGAAGCTGAAGCTCAGAGAGAGGACGTGGCTGGTATAAGCGTGCCCTCCAGCCCGCAGGGACAGGCCGAGGCAGGAACACACTCGGGGGGACCAGGCCCCCCCGCAGCAGCTGCCTCCCCCTGACGGATGCCTGCTTCCGGCTCTGGCTCTGGTCCCAGCCAGCCCTCCCTCCGCTGGGAGGTGCCATCACCGTTTGATAATTGATGGTGACCTGGCAGATGAGGGCGAGTGTGGGGAGAGGTGTGCGCGGGTGCCACGCTATGGGGAGGCGGGACCAAGCTGGGGCAGTTGTGGGTTCTCCAGGCTCCCTGTCCAGGTGTCCCTGCCCTGTCCTGGCTGCCTGCACCCCGCTCCTGCCTGGGCCGGGTCAGTGTCTCAGTTGAAGGAACTCAGGGCCCCCTGGAGCCTGGGGGCAGGTCCCTGAGTGGCCGGGAACTTCCCCTTCCTCCTGGGTGACCCGATATCGTAATTCCCAGCTCCCATGAGGGTCAAATGACGTTTTGTGAGGCCAGCATGCAGCAGGCCCTCAAAGGATGGTAGCCGCGATCAGTCCTACAGCTTTGCCCCCCACGAAGTTCAAGTCAGGTCAACTCAAAACGTATCTCCTGTGTCTGAGACAAGGTGTAGGTTACACTGAGCGTAGACACTGCGGGGACAGTGGGCTGGCCTGAAAGGCACTGGGCTGGGGGCCCTGCATTCCCCAGGCTCATGGTCAATGGTCAAATGACGTCATTCTGGGGAGTGAGAGACCCTGCAGGCTAGATCAGGAAGGCTTCCTGGAGGAGGGGGCCCTAGAGCTGGGGCTGGCGGGCGTAGCCATGTGGACGTGCGAAGGACAGGTACCCCAGGCAGAGGGAACAGCGGAGCAAAGGCCCCAAGCGGCAGTGGAAACGCCCAGGAGTGTGTGCTGAACTGAAGGAGCCGTGAAGCTGGGCAGGGAGGTTGAGAGAAGACCACACGGAGCCTCGAATGCTGAGCTAAGCGCTGGGAAGTTGCCCTGTGAGTGATGGGGGCCACTGGGGACCGGCACGGGAGGGGCTGGTGCCACCCCCTTATCCTTCCTTCCTGAGTCTGGCACCCACACTTTGTCCCAAACATGTCAAATGACAACTCCGACTCCACATCTGAGAGAGGACGGCCTCTGATTGGCCTCCAGCGGGCACTGCCCTCCCCCGCAACACACACGTGCCTCCTGGTATCTCTGCCCCTTGTGACCAAACCCCCCCATCAGATCATCTCCTTCCCCACCCTGCCCCTCTCCCCCACTTCGCTGCCCCAGCCCCTCTTCCCTCCCTGCCCCCGCTCAGCCTGGCCCGCCCCATCTCCCTCTTCCTTGGGGCCCTCTCGAAGGCCACCTGCTCCCCTTCAGCACCCCCCACCCCGACACGGTCTCTCTCCGTTTTAGGAGCCCCCAGCCTTGCCCCCTGACCGTTCATCTTGGCCTCGGTGGCCGCCTCCCCAGCCAGATCCTTAGGGGCCCTGCCAGGCAGCCCGGCTGGGGCATCTCCCAGTTGCTGGACCCCAAGTGCCCACACGTGGCCGGCACACAGAAGCGCCCGAAAAGGGGGCGGGCCTGGTGATGCGTGCCGCCCCGCCTCCCGGTGCCCGCCCACACGGAGACTCACACGGTGGGGATGTACTCTCCCGGGAAGGCATTGGTGGTGTAGCTGATGAGGAGGCAGGTCTTGCCCACGGCTCTGAAAGACAGGAAGTTCCGGAGGGCGTCAGTTGCAGGCCCGGCCTGGTCCCCGAGCCCAGCCCTCAGGAAAGACCCAGGCTCACCCCTCTGGGCCTCAGTTTCCCCATCTGAGGGTCCCCGTGTCAGTGTTCTCAAACCTGAGAACCATGGAGTCATCGGGGTGCTTGTCAAAGGGCAGACTTCAGGCCCCACCCCAGAGAGTCTGACCCATGGCTGGGGGCGGAACTGGGAACCTGTGTTTTGAAAAGCTCTCCCAGGGGGCGCTGATGGGGGACTGAGGGTTAAGAGCAGAGGGTGCCCAAGACACCCCTGAACTGGACAATGCCGCAGGGACCCCAGTGCTTGACCAGGGCTCTGCGTCACACCTGGTCCACCCCCTGCCTGTGGCACCAACTTGGGCTGGTCCGTTCATCTCTCTATGCCTCAGTTTGCCCATCTAGAAAACAGGGGTGAGTCCCTCCTCAGAGGAATGTGCTGGAAAGGAAATTAGACGAAACCCATAAAAAACCAAGCGCAGTACAGGG